CTATCGGCAAGCTGTTTAGTGGAGTTATTCCTTTTTATGTAGTTCTGAGCCAACTCTGAAGTTTCAAGTCACTAGCTCGTCGGGAAGTTGGTCAAATTTTGATTGCAAGTTTTGCACCTAACAAACACACATACATAGCAAGTTAAATAAAAGCTCGTAAAAATAGATATAGATAAATAGACTAAGTGTCGTTTAAAGCTCACCTTTATATTTAAAAGCTACATTAAAATTTATGATTGTGTCAAAAGTAAAGCATTTTTTGGGTTTCAAATTAGTTTACAACCAAGAAACATACATACGCCAAAAACCGATGATAGAAATGCTTAGCTTTAGACATAGCTTTATTTTTAATCCAACCTTTAAATATAAAGTGAGTTTTAAAGTTAAAGGCCAGAGATCCAAAAAAGCAGTTTCCCTCTTAGAAAAATAATTGGGTTTTATTCTTGGGAATCTGTTGAAGAGAAACAGGGTCTTCCGATCGAGAAATATTGGTTTTCAAGAATTCCATACCATTTCCACGAAAAGTTCTTTTTTTCCCACACAAAATATATGCAAAACTTTGAGCGCTTTGAGCGACCTCCAAATATTTTTTGATTTCACAATAAAAAATAGGGGTATACTTTTTTTCGATATATAACAATCCTAGGGGGTGAGGACATAAAAATTCAGACTTCACTTTTTTACATGCATTTTTGGACATACATGTAGGGCTTTGGGATTCGTTCATATTTTGGGTAATTGCAATTGTGCTAGGTATGAAAGTGGGCACACATTTTTTTTATGATCAAAATCAAAAAACCAAATTAAAATCAAAATTAGTTTTTTTTTGAAGTAGTGTTTCGTACAGAAAAAATTTATACGTACCGAAAAATTTTATACTTCACGTTTTGTATAGAAAAGTGCGCGCATTTAAAAAAAATGAAATCAATTAAAAAAAGTAAAAATTTCAAAATAAAATGTTGGAAACGTAGACTGTTTGTTGAAAACTCAAATAATATTTAAAAGCATGAAAAGTGAAAGAGGTGTTTTTAATAAACAAATTAGCGACTTTCCAAATCAAAGAGAGTATGGTTTTAACGATTATAATTTTTTATTTACAACATATGTAAAATTTAATATAATTGTAGTGTAATGAAAACTTCGCCGCGGCAAGCAATGGGAATCCATTTTGGTTTAGTTTGTAACGGGTGATTTTTTTGAGGTTAGGATTTTCATGCATTAGTATTTGACAGATCACGTGGGATTTCAGACATGGTGTCAAAGAGAAAGATGCTCAGTATGCTTTGACATTTCATCATGAATAGACTTACTAACGAGCAACGCTTGCAAATCATTGAATTTTATTACCAAAATCAGTGTTCGGTTCG